CGTCGTCGTCGTCGTCGTCGTCGTCGTACGTACGTACGTACGTACGCGCGTCGTCGTCGTCGTCGTCGTCGTCGCGNGGGGGGGGGGGGGGGGGGGCGGTTGTGTGTTTCTCGAGCGTACACGTACGAAGCCGGAAGAACCTGCCGCCCTCGCCGGGGTGACATCTGCTTCATCAAGGAGGCACAAAGCTGCTCCTTTTGCCACTTGGGCTTGCAAGCTGTGCCTCCTGTATCTGCTTCGAGAGCGAGGCGGCGGGGCCTGCTCAGTCGGCTCGCAACCATACCGTACCGACCGTCCTTTTTTAGCCTCGCCTTGCTTGGGCGTCGGGCGTGGGTGATCCGGGCGTCTGTCACGGTCGGCTGGCCTTAAGCTTTTTGGGGGCTCAATCAATCTCCCCTATGGCATGCCGAGATGCACGCCGACGCAGCCTGTAGAGCCGCAAAGGGCCAACCAAGGCAGGCAAGACTCGCCCCGAGGGGGTTCTATATGGCGATACTACCGGCCCAGCAGAGCACCGCACCGGCTTCTACCGATGGGCGGCGTTGCCCGAGAGATGGACGCCAAAGGTAGGGGTTTCGAAAGGCGGGGCCGAGGCAGCGAGCCGGTCGAAGGCAGGCAAACGCCGAAATCTCGGGTCCCGGATCTGCGCGTGCACCCTGGGGGGGTTGGACCTGGGGCAAAAATTTTTGCCTGCGCGGGCTTCCACAGAGAGGCCAGCAGGCTAGCTGCTTGATTTCGCCCCCGCCAGCCACATCAGCGGGTGCGGCCAAAAAGGAGAGCAAGAAGCAGGTTGGCAGGCTGGGCCTGGCGGCTGAGCGGCCGGCCTGCTGGTCCAAATTTTTCCTTCTGCCGAAGGGACGCCCGACTCTAACCTGTCTTCGCCCCGCCTGGCTGGCCGCCGTCGTCCTCGCCACCATCGTCCCGGACACCCCCTACCCGCTCCTCCCTGCAAGCATCCTGTTTCGACAACCACCGCTTCAGCTCTCTCGCTGCGGCAACCTGGTAGCATCTACCGACTCGAACCCGACCCGTCCCGACTCAACCGGACGGACCGACGGACGGCGATACCCCTCACACCTGTCGCGAGCAGACCCGCCCGCGCTGGAGCCGTTCGCCACTAGGGAGCCCTGATACCGACCAACTGGCTCTCCCGATCACGCACTCGTCACTTTCCGATCGCTTCTCACCTTTCGACCGCCCATCTTCCGACTAGCCTTTCCCTCACACCACACCGACCTCGTTCAAAATGGCGACCCTCAAGGCCAACATTGCTCCGGTCCCGACCGCGGCCGACTTCCTCGACATTGTCCTGTCCAAGACGCAGAGGAAGACGCCCACCGTCGTTCACCCGGGATGGAAGATCACCCGTATCCGCTCTTTCTACATGCGCAAGGTCATGTTCACAAAGGACGCCTTCAACGAGAAGCTCGACGCCATCCTGACCGAGTTCCCCATCATGGACAACCTGCACCCCTTTATCTCGTCGCTGCTCAACGTGCTGTACGACAAGAACCACTACAAGCTCGCTCTGGGCCAGCTCAACACCGCCCGCCACCTGATTGAGCAGGTGGCCAAGGACTATGTCCGCCTGATCAAGTTTGGCGACAGCCTGTACCGCTGCAAGCAGCTCAAGCGCGCCGCCATGGGCAGGTGAGTGGATGTCCGGGCCTTGCGCGCGCGCCGCGCGCGGAGATCTGTTGTTGTTGCGATGCTGCGCTGCTGTCGAACCAGTCGTGGCTGACATTGCACGAGGTCACCCCCTTCTTTCACATTGACCTGCCCTGCCTCTCCCGCGCAGGATGGCCACCATCATGCGCCGCCAGAAGGACCCGCTCGCCTACCTCGAGCAGGTCCGCCAGCACATGTCGCGTCTTCCCTCGATCGACCCTTCGACCCGCACGCTGCTGATCTGCGGCTACCCCAACGTGGGCAAGTCGAGCTTCATCAACAAGGTCACGCGCGCCGACGTCGACGTCCAGCCGTACGCCTTCACCACCAAGTCGCTCTTTGTCGGTCACATGGACTACAAGTACCTGCGGTGGCAGGTCATCGACACCCCCGGTATCCTCGACCACCCGCTCGAGGAGATGAACACCATCGAGATGCAGTCGATCACTGCGCTGGCCCACCTGCGTGCGGCGGTGCTGTACTTTATGGACCTCTCGGAGCAGTGCGGCTACACGATCGAGGCCCAGGTCCAGCTGTTCAACAGCATCAAGCCGCTGTTTGCCAACAAGCCGACCATCCTGGCCATCAACAAGATCGACGCCATGCGCCTCAGCGACGTCGAGCCTGAGCGGGCCGCGCTGATCCGCAGCGTGATTGACGAGTCCGAGGGCAAGGTGCAGCTTGCCGAGCTCAGCACCTACACCGACGAGGGCGTCATGGACGTGCGCAACCTCGCGTGCGACACGCTGCTCGCCTCGCGCATCGAGACCAAGATGAAGGGCACCAAGATCAACTCGGTCCTCAACCGCGTCCACGTCGCCCAGCCCAAGTCGCGCGACGACGTCAAGCGCAAGCCGTTTGTCCCCGAGGGCCTGGCCGACAAGAAGAAGTACGACGCCAAGGACCCGGAGCGCAAGCGGACGCTGCGCGACGAGCAGGAGGAGAACGGCGGCGCCGGCGTCTTCAACATCGACATCAAGCGCGACTACATGCTCGCCAACGACGAGTGGAAGTACGACGTCATCCCCGAGGTCTACGAGGGCAAGAACATTGCCGATTTCGTCGACCCGGACATCCTCGAGAAGCTCGAGGCACTCGAGCGCGAGGAGGAGAAGCTCGAGGCCGAGGGCTTCTACGACGACAGCGAGGGCGAGGACGACATCGTCGACGAGGAGGAGGAGGCCATCCGCTCGGCCGCCCAGGCGATCCGCGCGCGGCAGGAAAAGGCCAAGCTGCTGGCCCAGGACCGCAACAAGAGCAAGATCCAGAACCAGCTGCCGCGCAAGTTCCAGGCGCGGACCATGTCGCAGATGGCCGAGAGGATGCTCGAGATCGGCATCGACCCGAGCAGCGTCACGGCACGCGCCGAGCTGCTGGCCAAGGCCAAGGGTCTGGCGGGCAAGCGCAAGCGCACCGCCGACGCCGACGACGCCGACGCCAGCATGGACGTCGAGGACGAGGCGGCCTGGGAGGACGACGAGGGCGATGCGGCCATGGACGTCGATGAGGCCAGCGGCCAGCGCAAGGCGAGGAAGAGCAACGTCGGCGCCAAGCTGCGGTCGTCGACGACGGCGCTCACCAACAAATCGGGTGGCAAGATTACGGCGCGTGCCGGCGCCAAGCGCGTGCCCGCGCGCGATCGGTCGATGATGGGCCTCAAGAACGAGCAGCAGAAGGACAAGGCGGTGCGGCTGCACGACCTCAGCCTGCGTCCGTTCCAGCTGCAGGCTAAGACGGGAGAGTCGGACAGGCACATCAAGGAGAAGCTGCCAAAATGGCTCTTTGCCGGAAAGATGGGCAAGGGCACGTCGAGAAGTCGCTGAGCGGCGGGCGGCCGATGCCGGTCGATCCGGCCTCTGTCCGTCTGCCTGCCTTGCCTGTCTGTCCTTTCTTGGCCCTCTCTGCCTTCGTCCAGCGACCCCTTCTGCATCTCCTCGCCCGATTTTGCCTCTCACGTACATATCCCCTTTAGGGCGTTTGGTTTGCCGCGCCACCTCACCTGGCCTCTCTGCACCTCTTTCTGGCATCCCCCTGTCTCGACCGACTCATGAAATCGCATGTCACTTGTACGATCTCTCGTTGGCGCCGTCTGTGCAACGCTCACTGCTGCTGCGGTTCGGACCGCGGCCTCCCCTGACGCAGAGGCTCGTCGTGTTGTCGCGCAGTCCGGATCACGCGGTCCATGCCGGCCAGGCTATGCGAGCAATCGCCTCGTGCTCTTCGCTGCCGGAGCGAAGCCGTCTGCCCTGCTCTGCCCTGTTATTGACAAGACGAGCATTAAGCGGCAGACTAGGAAGCGTCAGAAGGCCAAGGAGACTTCGCGGCGAATCAGATCCTTCCATGCCGAAGCCCTCGTCAAAGCGGCGCGGCCTGCTATCGCCTTGGCCTGTGTGTCTGTTGTGGCCGTTCGCCAGCTGCGCTGCGGGTTCTTGGAGCTGTTGCGGGCTGGATCGGTTCAGTCCGGTCCCTGGCAAAACAGCCTACGCCATGGTCCCGCCTTGGCGATCTGAACGCGCGTGCTGGCAGGCCGGCTCATCCGACCGACTGGCCGGCCGGCCGGCCGGCCGGGCTGACTTGCAAGCTTGCTTGGCTCGTTTGGGCAGGTGCGCCTGCTCGGACCTGCGCCGGCGCACGGTGCTGTCAACTTGCCTCGCGTGTGCGGAAGAAAACCTCCGCCGCCCCCGCCGCCGACGTCTCCGGCGTTTCCAACCGACTCCTTCGATCCGCGGCCCGCTTCTTCCAAACCGTGCCTCGTCTTGTCCCCTCGCCCACCGCCCCTCTCGACGGTAAAATGCTCTGCAAGCATTCGATGCCGTGAACATGTATGGTTCCCGTCGTCGAAGGCAGAGCCGCGAGGAAGCCGGCTTGCCGGTCGGGCTGCGAGGGAGCACGGGCTATGTGCGGCCCTTTCAGGCACCGACTGACCGCTGTGTTGTTCTCTGTCAACGAGCTGGATCGATGGCAAAGGGCAGGGTCTTCGAACCCTGCATGCAAAACCGACTCACTTCGGACCAACCAACAGCGAGCAACAACGAGAGCACCAGCGTAACAAGCAAGCCTCGTTCTACCTACTTGGTGAGCAGCGAAGCGGCGAGATCAAAGCAGCAAGCAGCAAGAATCATCGTTGGACAGAGACGCACGTTTCCCGACCACCATGCTTCGTGCGCTCCCACGCCCTGCGCCCTACCCCGGTCGTTGCCTAGCCGCCCCTCGACGCGGGCGTGCGGGCTGCTTGCCGTTGCCGCCGACTGAGATAGAGAGAGAAGCTGGGGCCGTGTCTACAAACGCCGCGTGCATGCAGACAGTCACGGCCTCGTGCGAAGCCGATGCTGCGTCTGCTCGGCCGGACAAGGGGAAGATAGAGAGAAGGTCAATCAACCTCGGCCAGATACATAGGCGGCCCTCGATGGCGTCCCGGCGTCCTCTTCCCGTTCCGACTTCGCCGCCGCCAGTCCATGATCCACGACATCTTCAGCCGCTCCTTCATTCCGGCAGCGACTTCGCTAAGGTAGCGATTCGTGTCTCCCTTCCGTCGAGTATCCTGCATCAACCATGGCCTCCCCGAACCCGGCAGTGCAGGCCGCTCTCCCTGCTCTTCTCGGCTTCCACAACCAGGTCCAGCTTCGTCACCGGTCCGAGTCGGAGCAGAGCATCAGCAGCAGCGGGTGCAGCACGGATAGCGCACAGCCAACATCACCCAGCACACCGCCCATCGGTCGCCTCTGCCTGGTCGAGGATCCGCCCATCGCCTCGCCCAGCTCGAGCTTCTCGTCCTTCTTTCCCTGGGTCGATGCCGATCCCGCCGACGAGGAGAGGCAGGCCAGCGCCAAGCTCAGTCCACGTCCGGTATCTGTCTTCAATTCGCCGTCCAAGAGCGAGCAGACACGGCCTGAGCTGGGCACCTCGCCATACAGGAGCTTCAGGAGGCCTCTGCCGCCGATTCCACAGATGCCGATACGTGCATCGACTACGGGATCGCCTAGGACCCCGCTCCGCACTCCTGGCCTGTCGACGCTCTTTTCTGGCGACCTGATCGATCGGACCGCTTTGACAGCGTCACCCGCCACGACGGAATGGTCGATTGCTCCGCTTGGTGAAGATCCAGACGAGTCCGACGTGACTCCGAGCAGGGCCTCGAGCACGCTCAGCCGCCCGGGGCAGGACCACGAATCGCCCTCGGAGTCGGAGTCGGACGACGACGGCGCCCAGCACTCGCGAACCAAGGACAGCGTCGAGCTGGCCGACTATGGCGAGGACAGCGGCGAGATTCAGATCCCTACTATTTCGACGACGAGAGCCATGGTCGACGTTCGACATCGTCCGCGGCCGGCAGCGTCGGCGGCACAGCGCTACGACATCTATACGGACAAGCACCTTCCTGGCTACGAGGTCCGATCTCGCAGACCGGCGTGGCCATCGACCTCGTTCGAAAGCTCTGCTGATGGACTTGAGCAGGACACCGAAGGCGACTCGACGTTTATCCGGACACCTCGGCAGGTCTGCGGCTGGAAGGCGGTCCTGATGCATCCGAAGAAGCTGGAGCCCTCGAGAACGGTATGGACAGACACGCACGGCAAGCGCAGGAGCAAGGTGGTGAGTGAGCGTGCCGGTGGTACAGCGCTGCCCTTGTACGCCACCGAGCTCATCTTCGATCGTCTTCGTTCCCCCCTCTCGCCACCGACAGCTGGGCCAAATCGCCTTTGAAGCGCGACAGGAGCCCCTGAAGCTCCACTTTGACTTCCGGGCGGGCTCCGGCATCGTGGCTACGATGCGTCAGGGGCATCACCTCCTTCGTCGCGAGTGGCATATCTCGCTCATAGATGGGACGAAGCTCACCTGGAAGATGACCAAGGGCGAGCTAGCCCTGTACCTCGCCCCTGAGGACGTTCAGGTCGCCGTCTTCCGCAAGGCACCGCGAGGGTCCAGGGGCCAGGCTGCAAAGGTAGGACGATTGGAGGTGACGCTGCCCGGCCAGGGGCAGAAGCGTCGAGCCAGCTGGTACGACCCTTCGATATCGCGGAAAGGCGAGGTGCCGATGGATCACCTCATCCTGGCGAGCTTGGTGGCCATCTTTGCAGCCTGCGGCGGCCACAACAGGGTCAAGGCCGGAGCTGAGACGGAAGACGACGCGGCAAGTCCTGTCGCTGCTGATGCACCTCGGTCGGACGTGGACGACTTCCTCGTCAGCTCGCCGTTGGAAGTCCACCTCGATGAGATCGAGACAGCCTCGCCGACAAGGCCTGTACAACAGGAGGGCTTGGCGGTCGACGAGTCGCCCACCACGTTCGAGGTTCGTCCTACCCGTGCGCCCTCGCTGCTCTCGTCGACGAGCGGCATGCGGATCGAGAGGTCAGAAAGCACCGCTCGAAGGAGCCTGATGTCGAGGATCCGTCGACGATCCACGGTCCAGGAGCGCGTCGTCATCGAGGAGGAACCTTCGGATGCCGAGGAGGCAGGCGAAGACGTGGCGCGGGCACCGAGCCCACTCAGCAATCCTTGGCTCGTCCGCGAAGCTCAGGGAGGCAGACAGAAGTCGTGATGCCTGTCATGAGCCTCGATCGCGAGCATATGTTGTCCATGCTGCTGAATGCGAGAGTGTGCTTGTCAGTGTTCAGTAGTGGCCGTGCAGTGAGAAGGATGGCAACCCCTTGGCGACGTTTGGGTCGATCGACTGCGACTTTATTCTATCGCCCGAGAGCATCGAGAGTGGGCCCGAGGAACGGCCGGCGTCCGCCTGACCCCGCGGGCGAAGAAACTCGAACTTGGCCCGCCTGTGCGCGTGCGTGCTCCTCGTTTTTTTTGCGTGCCCCGGCAATTTGCCGAGACCAGGCAACTTGGCCGGGAGACAGGCGGCCTCGTGGGCGCCGCCGTCGACCCGCTGGCGGGCGCCGCGCCGGGACCTCGGGGCTTTCTCCGATTCGCTCGCTCGCCCGCGCGCTTCTCCCCTCGATGCTCGATGCTCGACGGGGGGCCCGTGTCTGGGGCCGAAGCATGCAAGCGCAGGCCGGGAAGAAAGCAGGCAGGCAGGCAGGCGGCTTGCTTGCTTGCCGCTCCGCACCCGCTCCGGCCTGACCGTCAAGTGACTCAGAAGCTAGGGTCGGACAGGGGGCAGGCAGAGGGAAGCAGGCAGGAAGAAGGCGGGGGAGCATTTCCCTCGGGCCACGGCACTGCGCGTTGGGCTGGGCGACCTATAACAACCAAGCCCCCACGACCGCTTCCGCCTTTGCGCCCCTTCCCCCTCTTCCACCCTATCCTCCCCTCCTTTCCTTCCCCTCCTTCTCACCCCGCGTGCCTCGAGAAGACCCACCTAGCGCACATACCATCCATCATGGCGTCCGTACCGCAGGCTCCCGTCATGGGAAACTTTGGCCTCCCGCCGATCAAGAACGAGCCCATGGTGAGTGCTTTTTGGGCCGACAGCTTCCGAACGACTCGACACATGCCTACCGGCGAGCGCAGTCGAACTGACTCGAGAACCTCTGCGCCGCCTTTCTCTCTACCACTCTTCGCAGCGCAACTATGAGCCCAAGTCCGACGACCGCGCCAAGCTGCAGAAGGCCGTCGACGAGATGCTTGCCGCGGGCCCCGTCGAGGTCCCCGTCATCATCAACGGCGAAAAGATCAAGACGGGCAAGACTGCCAAGCAGCTCAACCCCTCGAACCACGCCCAGGCGGTCTGCACCTACCACGAGGCCGACGCCGCGCTGGTCCAGAAGGCCATCGAGGGATCCCTCAAGGCCAAGGCGGCCTGGGAGAACATGCCCTGGAACGACCGCGCCGCCATCTTCCTCAAGGCGGCCGACCTGCTGGCCCACAAGTACCGCTACAAGGTCATGGCCGCCACCATGATCGGCCAGGGCAAGAACGTCTGGCAGGCCGAGATCGACGCCGCCGCCGAGGCGTGCGACTTTTTCCGCTTTGGCGTCAAGTACGTCCACGACCTCTACTCGACCCAGCCCCCGGAGAACTCGCCCAACACGTGGAACCGCACCGAGTACCGCCCCCTCGAGGGCTTCGTCCTCGCCGTGTCGCCCTTCAACTTTACCGCCATTGGCGGCAACCTGTTTGCCGCGCCCGCCCTCGTCGGCAACGTCGTCGTCTGGAAGCCCTCGCCCATGGCCATCTACTCCAACTACCTCCTCCTCGAGATCTTCAAGGAGGCCGGCCTGCCCGACGGCGTGCTCCAGTTTGTCCCCGGCCCCGCCGAGGAGATTGTCGGCGCCGCCATCAACCACCGCGAGTTTGCCTGCCTCCACTTTACCGGCTCCACTTTCGTCTTCCGCAACCTCTGGAAGCAGATTGGCAACAACCTCGACAAGTACCGCGGCTACCCGAGGATCGTCGGCGAGACGGGCGGCAAGAACTTCCACCTGGTCCACAAGTCGGCCAACGTCGACGCCGCCGTCACCCAGTCGATCCGCGCCGCGTTCGAGTACCAGGGCCAGAAGTGCAGCGCCCTCTCGCGCCTCTACGTGCCCCAGTCGATGTGGCAGGGCGAGTTCAAAGAGAAGCTGCTCAAGCAGATTTCCGAAATCACCCTCGGCCCCGTCGAGGAGTTCCAGCACTTTATGGGCCCCGTCATTGCCAAGCACTCGTTTGACAAGATCATGGGCCTCATCGACGCCGCCAAGAAGGAGGGCGGCCAGGTCCTCTGCGGCGGCACCGGCGATGACTCCAAGGGCTACTACGTCCAGCCCACCATCATCGAGACAAAGGACCCCAAGTCGGTCACCATGGTCAACGAGATCTTTGGCCCCGTCATCACCGTCTACGCCTACCCGGACAACGAGTTCGAGCAGACCTGCCAGCTCATCGACACCACCACCGAGTACGCCCTCACCGGCGCCATCTTCTCGCTCGACCGCCACGCCCTCCTCCAGGCCAGCAACCTCCTCCGCAACGCCTCGGGCATGATGTACTTCAACGACAAGTGCACCGGCGCCGTCGTCGGTCAGCAGCCCTTTGGCGGCGCTCGCGCTTCGGGCACCAACGACAAGGCAGGCTCCATGGCCATCTTCTACCGCTTCGTCTCGGCCAGGACGATCAAGGAGACCACCATCGACCCCGCTCACCACCTCTACCCGTCCAACCTCCAGTAGGCGGGCCCCTTCCCCCGCCACCATCCGCGCGCGTTGCCACCGGCCGCGCGCGCCGTCCCTTTCCAACATACCCCGATGTCCTCAAGCACGCCCTCTTCCATCTCTCTTCCGCATCGCATCCAGTCACCGTCTCGCATCAGCATCTGTATTCGTAACTTCCCAGCGAGACACCTGGACCCGCACCCCGGCCCCTCCTCCGCATACCAGGCAAGGAGGGACAGGCGTGCACACCATCCTGTACTTGTAGACATCCTTCCGGTGCGGGAGCCGGCTTAACACAATCTCCCGAAATTCTTGTCCAGATGATGACTGGCTTGATTGCCCGCGAGGAGGACTGACTTGTTCGATGGCGTTGGCATGCGATGGCGTCGGTGGTGTATGAAGGTGCGGGATGGTGCTTGGTGGCGAGGAGCGCGTTTCGGAGGCGTGCCACCGAAATAATCGGGTCTCGGTCTTGGGTCGGGTGTCTCTGTTGGGGCGCCGATTGCACTGATCAATTTGCACTGGCTTACATCGGGCTGCAGTCAGTCGCGGATCAGCGCTATGAGACGCTATTAAAGACCACCGTCATCCGGAATGATCTCAGGGCTGCTGGAGGGCATGCTGCTATTGCTGGACCTCGATGCCACCAGAGGGCTGCGATCTATCATCCTCGACGTCTACCGTCAACAGGGTGGAGGCGAGGCGCGAACGAGCCATCCGCCTTCCCTTATTCCTCGATCGACCAACACCATGCCTGCTGTCTGCCTTGTGCTCCCAGCAACCTCTTTCGAACAGCCAACCCAGAGCACATGCCACGCGCCGCTCTCGATCGAATCAACAGCCCACACGGGTCAAGCCAGCCTCGACCGCGACGACGAGCGCTACGTCGTCAGTGGCAAGGGCATGGCGATCGACGGGCCGTAGTCCAGTGGAGAAAGATGGCAAATACGCATTTCGAGGAGAGCAAGGGAAAGAGCGCGGTACTGAACCTATCACTGAACGTGTGCACAGGGCGGCGGATGGATGAATGGAGAGGCGGGTGAACGAGGAGCAGGGGCCTGGCTCGCGCTCGCGAGGTGATCAAAGTCGGTTGCGACGTCGTGAGGCTACTTGGCAGCCGGAGCCCCGCTCTTGGTGGGCGACTTGTTTGTCGTTGTCGACGACGACCCGAGCTTGCGGGTCACGCTGACGCCCTGCTGACTGCCGCCAGCCTCTGCCTCGGCGGATGGTGCCTCGATCCTAGCCTCCTCATCGCCGGGCTGCACCGGGGCAGCGGCTGCGGCGTGGCGCCGGTCCGCCACCGTCGAAGCTCGCGCGCGGCGCTCGGTCTCGGCACGCACCGCGGCGGCCTCATCTTCGGGCGACATGGGCAGCGCGATGCGTCCTTCCTGGCGTGCCTGGATGCGCGACCACGCCACGCTGGCGATAAAGGCCACCACCTGCAGGCTGATGGCCAGGATCGTCGCCGCCGTCAGCGCAGCCGGGCGAGGGTGGTCGGGATGGGCAATGGGGAACTGCTTCGACCACAGCAGGCCAATGTTGAGGTAGATGCCGGCCACGGTCCAGGTGACGTCGGCCGTCGAAAAGATCCACAGCGCCGAAAAGACGCCCATGCCGGCGATGATGCCGAACGCAGGCCAGAGCCCCATCTGGAGCAGCTGGTCACCGTGACCCGAGCCGGCGTCCCACTGCAGAGCCATGAAGAGCTGCTGCCACAGGTCGTACTGCAGCGTGATGACGAGGAGCATCTTGATGGGCACGTGGATAAACAGCCAGTCGAGCGGGTGTCGCTTCGAAGGGCGGTACTTGACGGCCAGCACGAGCGAGTTGAAGAGAAGCAGCAGCGCAATGACGCCGAGCGACACGGTGCCGAGGATGAAGGGGATGCGTCGGTCAAGCACCCAAAAGATGGCCCAGAGGACCATCATGTAGTTGGCCAGCGCCAAGCGTGTGCCGACGCCGTGGACGATGGCTTTCTGCAGGCCGTTTGAAGGACAAGGCCGAGGGTCAGAGCAGAGCGCGAGTCAGCATAGGTCCAGGTGATCGCGAGTTGACTGAACGCTGCCAAAAACTGCTGTGACTCACCTTTGTCTCTGGGGTGCGGCTGAGAAGCAAGAAGACGGCGAACCCTATCTGCAAAAGGTAGAGCACCGCCCAGTACAGGAGCACAAAGGGCTCGGAGACGGTGAGGTAGGTGGGATGCCGCCTCGAGACTTGGCCTGAAGGTACACGCGATGAGAGAGGAGCGGGGCACGTCAGCAATCCCGCGGAGAGAGGGCAGGCGGGCAAGGGGCCTTCGGACACTCACCGAGGTTGGGGCTGATGAGCTTGGATCCGCAGATGATCATGACGCCCAGCTGGAGAAGGACGCTCAACGGAGTGAGGATCTGTACGCGCACGAGCGCCTTTTGCTCCTGTTGGTCCATGGCGAGCTGCTGGTACCTTTGGCTGAGGCCGCCGGGCTGGGTGTGGGTCGAGGTCGAGGTCGAGTCGGATGCGTTTCGGAGTCGCTGACGGTGCTGGTGCTGATCTTGGTCGTGCTGGGCGCGACGTTCGATCTGGAGCTGTTCGGGGTCTTCGGGTCTAAAGATGTAGTCGGGCTGGGCGTTGTCGGATGGCTTAGGCGCGGCCATCGAAGGAGGTTTGGCCCGGATGGATGGGGCTGCAGACCGGGCGTGCGGCTGCAAGTAGTTGCGGCGTGGAGCGAGTGGTGGGGCCCCGTCGTTGTTGTGAGAGTAGCGACGAGATGGCGGGTGATCTGCTTGCGTATTCAATCTGCTACCTAGCTTGAGTGTTGGACTGACGATGGTGGTGGTCTGATGAGAGGTGGCGAGTCAGAAAACGGGGACCAAACGGGTGGGGATGGACAGAGGGCGCGGCAGCGGCGGCGGTGGAGGTTAGCTGGGGCTGGGGCTGGGGCTCGGGCTGGGGCTGGAGCTGGCCTCTCTGCTGCTCGTGCCCAGCACCACGCTCCCGCTGCAGGGTGATGCGATGTGATGTGACCATCGAAGCGGCTCCCCTCTCACCCCAGCCTCTGGCATGCCGGAGGACGGGTCTGGCAGGGCCCACACCAATTCCACGACTCGCACGAGAGCCACTCATCCGAGGAAGACTCGCTCTCACCGCGTTGGCCCAAACGCAGTCGGGAGGTCAGGCCAGGCCTGGCAGGCCGGCTTACGGGTCCAGCCACTCGGCTTGGCCGGTCCCGCAACCATCATTCAAGATTCCGGACGACCCATCCACAGCCCCAACCTCTGCACCTGCAAAGCAAACCGCCAGGCGAGTGGAATACTCAGCTGCCAGCCATGAGCAAGCAGCGCAGCACCTACGCCGACCACCTCGAGATTGGCGCCGCGGCGGCCGCTCCAGCCTGGCGCTCCTTCTCGTTCTTCGACCCTAGCCAGGTCCGCGACCAGGACGACTTTGCCCGGTCACCACAGGCGCTTCGCAGCCCCCATCAAGTCGCAGACACGGCCCTTTGCCCCGTACGCCCGCCACCACTCGCAGACGTGCTTCCCGAAGGCCTCGCAGATGGCAACCTACCAGGACCCTCGAGCCAGTCGGCCTCGCCGGCGCATCTCCGCCAACCTTCGCTCCTCGTCGGCACCATCGAAGGTCAGGTCCAGGTCCTCGATCCCGACACATTCGTGCAGCTGGCATCCTGGCAGGCCTTTTCGTCGCAAGGCGTCAACGGTCGCGTCACCCACCTCTCTTGCGACTCGCGCGGCAGGTTGGTCAGCTTGGGCGAAGAGGATGGATCCCGCTTCCCCATCCTCCGGATATGGGACATGCGAGTCGGCCGCACCCTCGACGACGGCAGGCAGTGGATCCCCAAGCTGCTGTCCGAGGGCAAGGTCCAGCACGGTAGCCGCCCTCACCCGGTCGCCACGGTGGCGCACACCGCCTCGCTCTCGTTCCTCTCGGTGGCTCTTGGCGATGGGACTGTGCTTCTCATCCGCGGCCTCGACTCGACGCTGATGTCGGCTGCCGCATCCACAGCGGGCCTCGCCTCGAACGCGACTGTCCGGCCCGCGGCGGCAGTGGCGCTTCCCAAGTTCAAGGTCGTCTACCAGCCCGGAGCCAACGAGTCCTTGGCACACGAGCCCGTCACTGCGCTCGGCTTTTCCGAAACACCATCGACGGTGCAGCAGTCCGCCACCGCACAGCCCGCAGCACAAGCCGAAGCGCAGCCCAGCCAGGGTTCTCGGGGTCGCAAAGGGGTCGGCCCGCTGCCGCGCCAGCGGCCCAGGAAGACGACCACCGCCGCGGCCAACGAGGCGGGCGGTGCCGGTCAGGAAGGCTCGCCAGCCGCGGTCCACCTCTTTATCGTCACATTATCGCGCATTCTGCGCTACATCGTGGTCGGAAAGGGTGCCGGCAGCAGCCCAGCCATCCTCGACGATGTCGGCTGCGCCCTCGGCTGTGCCGCCGTGATACCGAGCGGCGCGAGCCGCAGGGCCGTCGTTCAGCCGGGCAGCCTGGCCGGCAAGATGGTCGTGGCGCGCGAGGAGGCCATCTACGTAATCGGGCCCGAGGGAAGAGAGGCGTGCTTCGCCTACGAAGGGCCCAAGTCTAGCATCCACCTGTCGGCGTCGCAGGTCATCATCGTCACACCGCCCTTTGCCCCGTCGTCTTCATCCGCCTCGGCGACAGTCCGCAACTTTGTGGCCGGCAGGGATCACGGCACTCCCTCGTTTACACCCTCCTCGTCCGCCGGTCGCGGCTCGCCCATGTCCAACGGCGCGGGCCCGCTGCAGAGGCGCGGCATGGCCGAGATCGCCAAGGTGACCATCTTCGACCTCGACAACAAGTTTGTCGCGTACAGCGGCACGTTTGAGGGCGGCGTGCGCGAGACATGGGTGGGGCCATCCGGCGAGGTGGCCGTGCTGGGCGACAACGGCAGCCTGACGAGGCTCGACGAGAAGCCGCTCCGCGCCAAGCTCGAGATCCTCTACCGCAAGTCGCTCTTTCTGCTCGCCGTCAACCTAGCGCGCTCGCATGCCGAGCGGGCGGGCACACCGGACGCAAGGGCCCGCGTCGAAGCGCTCATGGCCGACATCTTCCAGCGGTACGGCGATCACCTCTACAACAAGGGCGACTTTGAGGGCGCCATGGCCCAGTACGTCAAGACAATCGGGCACACCCAGCCCAGCTTTGTGATCCGCAAGTTCCTCGACGCGCAGCGCATCACCAACCTCACCACCTACCTGCAGGAGCTCCACGCACGCGGCATGGCCAGCTCCGATCACACCACGCTGCTGCTCAACTGCTACACCAAGCTCAAGGACGTCGCCTCATTGGATCGCTTCATCAAACGGCCGCCCACCAACCAGCAGCGCGACAGGCCCGGCTCGCCGACCGTGGATGCCGAAGGAGGAGCAGCCGGCGACGGGCCGACGGGTGACAATGAGCGCGACGAGCTGCCCTTTGATCTCGAGACGGCGATGCGCGTCTGCAGGCAGGCCGGATACTTTGGCCATGCCGCCTACCTGGCGAAGCGATATGGCGAGCACGACGAGTACCTCCGCATCCAGATCGAGGACGCCAACGATCACGAGGACGCCCTCGCCTACATCCGCGGCCTCACCCCCGCAGAGGCCATCCGCAACATGACCCAGTACGGCAAGCTGCTGCTCGACCAGCTGCCGGAGAAGACGACCGACCTGCTCATCGAGCTCTGTGCCGGGGCCTTCCGGCCCTCGAGCGCCTTTGGCGCCGAGCAGGCGACGCCTGCAAAGGACTCGACCGGCAGGAGCGCGGCGGCCGCCTACCTGAGCTACCTCCACGTTGGCGCCTTTACCAAGGGCATCGCGGCGGGCGGCGACGGTGGCGCTGGCGCAGCTGGCGGCGGCACGGGCAGCTCGACGCCGAACCTGCAGGCCAGCTCCAACCGCAACTCGACCGCTGCTGTCGAGCCCTATCACATCGACGGCCCGCGCTCGCGTCGCCAGTCGGTCCTGCCGGGCATCGAGGAAGGGACGCTCGCCGCCGTCGAGGACGGTGCCTACCCCGTGCCGTCGCCCAGGGTCTTTTTTGCCCACTTTATCCAGCATCCGGCCCACTTTATCCGCTTCCTCGAGACGGTGGCGCTGGCGCGCTGGGGGCAGAGCGTGAACATGGACGTCCACGCCGCCTCGCACGACCCGCTCGCCGTCGTCGCCGACCTGTCATTCCAAGGCGAGGACGAGGACGAGGTCACCCTCGCGCTGCGCGAGCTGGGCATGTCGGCCAACGACGACTACGAGGACCAGGACGAGCTGGACCAGAAGGCCATCTGGAATACGCTGCTCGAGCTCTACCTCTCGTCGTCCAAGCCGTCCAAGGCGGGCGAGGGCAATGCGTTTGGCCTCGACGGAGCCCAGCGCCACCAGCGGCGCGAACGGGCGCTGCACCTGCTCGAGCAGCACGCCACGCTGCCGTACGATGTCAGCCACGCGCTCATGCTCTGCTCGGTCGAGAACTTTACCGAGGGCCTCGTGCTGCTCTACGAGCGCATGGGCATGTACGAGGACGTCCTGCGCTTCTGGATGGACGCCGGAGAGGACGACGAGCGGGCCGGCGGTGCGGGCTCTGAGGACGCCAGCTGCAAGGTCATGGCCGCCCTCAGCCGGTACGGCAGCGCCAAGCCCCACCTCTACCCGATCGTGCTGCGCTACCTCGTCTCCTCTCCCCAGATCCTCGCCAGACACGGCGACGACCTGCGCACCGTCCTGCAGCACATCGAGTACCACAGCCTCATGTCGCCGCTCGAGGTTGTCCAGTCCCTCTCGCGCACCGGCGTCGCCAGCGTCGGCCTGGTGCGATCCTACCTCTCCCGCACCATCCTCGCCGAGCGCGCCGACATCGAGGCAAACGAGACGACGACGGCGTCGCTCCAGGCCTCGACCGCCGAGAAGCTGGCAGAAGTCCATGCCCTCACCACCGCTGAGCGGCCACAGGTCTTCCAGATGACCCGCTGCTCGGCCTGCGGCGGGCCCCTCGACCTGCCCACGGTCCACTTTATGTGCAAACACTCGTTCCACCAGCGGTGTCTTGGCGAGAACGAGACCGAGTGCCTCGTCTGCGCCCAGAGGCTCGGCGCCATGCGCGACTGGAGAAGGGACGTCGAGGCCCTCAAGGGCAGGGAGGACCTGTGAGTGCCAACGTGACCGCCTTCGTTCTGTGCAGATCTCGTGGACATCTTTGCTGACGTCGTCGTCCCGTCCTGCTCCTCTCCCCCTTGCAAACAGCTTCGAAGCCGAACTCGAGGCTTCCAAGGACGGCTTCGAGACGATCTCGACCTTCTTTTCGAAGGGTCTCATGGGCCTCGCCGCGTCCGCACAGCTGTCGTAGCGTAGTTCTCTCTTGTCTGGCTCAGTGGCTTGCATCGTGGTTTGGCCCCATCTCGCAATGGATGCTGCAGCTCGATCGGTGCCTTGTTGAAGCGCCTTTTGGCATCAGCGACTTCGTTTCTTCAAAGGCCTGCTGCAAGCCGCCAGAAAAAGCTTGGTGCTTGATGTCGGTCTGGCATCTTCGCGCCAAAATTCTTCACGCTGCTTGCTTCTTGCCCTCTGTCTGCCTTGTCAGGGATTGAATGGCTTGGAACACATTGGACCTGAACCATGCGGAAAGGAGCCTTGTGGTATTGTTCTCCTGCAAGCTTTCATCAGGCTTGACAAGCATGACAACATGATCTTTTGTACCACTACATCCTCAACACAAAGTGACCTTGTCTCAAGGTGTGGGGTTGAAGCTGGTGTCCTTGATTGCAAGAGCCTCACTCCTTGCTGGGAAACATCACCAACCAGCCACCTCTTTGCATGCAGACTGCTGCAGAGCTTGTCAGTGGCCCACAAGACTGTTGCTGAAACAAGAGGCAAATTATGCTGGTCAACATGTCTGTGAGAAGCATGGCCAGCTGGTTGATCAGATCAGTGCATTCCTGATGGCCCAGTACTCATCAACCAGGCTGCTGGGACCAGCTCTACTGCCTCAATGGCTGCTGAGCCAAGGCTCTATCGGTATACCCTTATGCTGGGAGAAATAGAGCCACCCCTGCGTCCTCGTCCATGGCCTCCTGCGCTGCACCAACCACAAGTGTGCCGTCATGGTCAACAGCAAGCCGGCCCTCAAACTCTGGAACCATGACCTGGTGGCCACCCTCAACTTCGAGCGCATCCTCAACGCCTTCTTGGCTGGCAAGGAGCACCCCTGAGACCTCCGGCACTGCGGCAAAGACGACAACTAAACCGACAACCTGTCGCGCGGTGGCCCTGGCTCGCCCAAGTTCCGAGCCAGGGCCAGCCTTTAGCCGTGCGGCCCGCCACCTCTTTTCTGCGTCCCTGCATCCATCTCATTCCTCTCGCTCCGCCAGCACACAACCTTGTCGGGTCATGCCCGAGTAATGGGCTGTCAATCCAAGATGCATGTGAGTTGACTCTGCGCTGCCGCCAAACTTTGCTTTGCCACAGGTTCCCCACTGACTTGCCATGCACTCATCCATCTCACTCGACTGGTCTCTGCCTCACCTCTGCTTGTTGTTAGGCGGCTGCCCAACATGCCCCCGCGGGCGCCCGAGCCCCGAGGAAGGGCTGGCGGGCGGCGGAGCCGAGCGGCAATTGCCGCAGTCGGCCCCTCGGCCACGGAGGGAGTTCGAGGGAGCTAGTATATAGTCTCCAGGCTCCCACGGAGGCCTCCGATGGCCCCCTTGTCGAATGTACTATATCCTCTTCTCACTGGGGACTGGTACAGCCTCGATATCCCACTCCTCCTCATCCCTGACCTCTCCGCGCAAGCCCACTACCGTCCTCGGCCGCCCGCGGTA